TCTCGGTGAGCAAGGCAACCGAGGTCGGCCTCGAGTGTTGTTCAAGGAGAACGGCAACTGTGATCTTGAGGTTGACGGGGAGGTGGTCCTTGTAGCTCGGAAAGTGAAGGGGATCTACGTGGTCGACCGGGCGGAGAACGCATCATCTCCAAAAGTGGTTCAAAAGGGGCCGCTTTCGGAAATGGAGCGGGAGGGCGCCGCGCCGGAAAAGGACGCGTGCTTCCTCGTGAAAAAGCCGGAAACGGCCGACCTGCCTCGAACGAAGCTACCTGAGCATCGGATCCAAAAGGCGTACGATACCCACTGCAGGTCCGGTCAAACTGGCCGCCTGACCCAAATATAGTTCGATTGCAGACGTTCGCCGGCTGCGCAGAAACTGACCGTTTGATGACCTGGATGCCAACTACCGAAGGACCAAATCCTGCGTCATGCAACTGGCGGGAACCGTCAAGCGGAAAGGTTTGACCGATTATGTGATAAGAATGGGAGAAGTCCTCGAGCGCCGTTCCCTACCTGCCGACAGCTTGGCCCGCAGCTACTCCACTCGCTCTCCCAATCGCGCGGGCCTCCCCTCGAGCGCGCACTTCTCCTGCCGCGCAAACTGCAGCTCCCCCGCCATCGCGCGCAGCCCCTCTCTCTCCGCGACCGCGCGCAACGCCTCCGCCGTGTCCGCCACCTGTTGGGCCCACGCCTCGGCGGTTGACCACGCTAGTATTTCAGGGCCCGGGGGCCTGTGTGAATCTTCCCCCCAGAGAGAGGGTTCGGTGTCGCGAGTTGGGGAAGAAAGGGGTCGGGGTTGGGGGGGGGTCGTGGTGGAAGGCGTGGTGGGGGAGCGCTTGGAGGAGAGCCTTGAGGGACTGGACTTCGCGTTCTTTCAGTGCGCGGTACCTGTAGGCAAGTAAGGTCGTCGGTCAGTGGACAGTCAAGAGAAAGCGGCTTGAGGGTATTCATTCCTTTTACAGTGTGCACAGTTGAAGCTTTCAAGAAAGAACGAGCCGGAAAAGCCAACGGAACGCGCTACAAGACTAGAAGATGTTGGGAGGAGTTTAAGGACGCGACATCGACCAAGCGGGACGGAGATAATTCAATTCAGAGGCAGAAAAGCATATTGCTGAACTCATGAAGAGCAACCCGCTCATAAGCAGAGGGTCTTGTTGAGAAGGAAGGGCAGCAGTTCCCGCACTCAGTGCACATCCTCCTCCAATTTCGCAACTTCGTCCACGGTACCAGTCCTGCTCGCAGCGCTTCCGCTTCCTCACCTTTTGCTAGGATCCCGTCTCGTGGAGGATTGCAATCGCCTCGAGCTCTGTTATTTTTCTGGCGGCTCTTCCTGGGCGGCCGCCGCCGCCTGGAACAGGGCCTTCTGGTGGGCTGCTTCCAAAGGGTGCAGGGCCTTTGAGGCTGACCTCACGTGCTGGTGTGCCAGGTGGCACTCGGCGGTCTGTTCTTTGAGACTGCGAGGGGAAGGATTTCAGGTCGGGCAAGCACGAAGTTTGGATTATCTGGGGTCCAAAGAGCATCGTAGCTGGTTCCACTGTTACCTTTGAAGGAGATTAGATCACGCTCTTGAAAAGCTGTGGTCGCTATCCAGATTTCGACGTTCTTGTCGATAAAGTAACCAGATTCCGCACTGTTGACGTCGTACACCCACTTCCAACGGCCTTGTGCTCCTGTTCTCACCGTTTTAAGTGGTTCCTTTCTCAATCGCATGCTCTAAAGTAGCATATGTCCTTCTCCGACTGGTTGTATGTACATCCTAGTTGCCTCCTCTTATACTGTCAACCATAATCCTGTACATGCTGAGTTCAAGGGATCCTTACTTCCATTTTCCGCCCCCTTTGAGCACTAGTACTTCGAGTTTTATAAAAGAGCTGTATAAACGAGCTGTACTCTTATGAACACTCATACTCAGTTGACTACGCACGCGAACAAACTAACTGTTCAGTGCCCAGTATCCAGCTTGGTCACTTCTCCGCGCGCCTTTTTAAGCTTATGCCCCAGGATCCGCTTCACCGCAACGGCGCTCTTCTTACTGCGCCTCCACGAGCAGCCCCGCCGCCAGCCGCTTGCCTGCGGCCCCGCATTCCGAACCATCCGTGTGCGCGCCCGACAGCTCCCTCTCCAGCCGCATACACTCGTTCCTCAGATTATTGACTTCTTCTAGAGCCGAGAAGTTCGCGCGCATGTCCTCGGCGGCTGCGGTCTCGAGAGTGGGACAAAGACGGAGTGTGACTGGGCACCTTCGATAAAATCTACATGCGGACCAACGAAACGGCCTCATGGAACGCCCGTCCCTTAGGAGGGGTCAAGAGTTATCTCATGAGGTACCGCAGCGCCGAGAAACTTCCATCTCACAGGACAGATTGCCGGTGTCCTCAGCTTTGTGTCAGCCCTGAAGTTACCTCAAAGATGCCAACCCAAAAATCTTATTAAGTCAAGCACAGGATTATCACACTTTGACAAAGATACTGTTTGTCTGTGGCTAGGTTACTGCCTTTGTGAAGCTTCAAGATTTTAACAAGAGAGTCAAACTCTACCCTACTGTGGAGGCCCTAGGTGGTGTATCTCTGGAAGTACCGCATTAACCGCAGCATTGCTTGACCCACCACTTGGCAGTAGAACGAAATTCAACAAGCATTGTCCAATATCGCAAGCACCTTCTGCTCATTGCCATCCAAAAGACTTTGATTGTCCCCCTAATCTATCAACCACTGTCCATATGAATCACTGGAGATGTACCCATCGATTTTAAAAGCGAGGTCCCTTTGACAAAGAAGCCTTCCTGTGGGGTCATCATCAGGTACTCTAAACTTGTGAGATATGTATCCAGCTCTTAACATCAAAAGCCCTTCCTTTATCTTTCTTCAGCCTCATGTCTAACATCTTACCTTCTCAGGCGGGTACTGCGCGACCCCACGCTGTCTTCAGCCACAGAGTATCTGAGGCAGCTCATGGGCAGCAATATAAAGGAGAATGACAAAGGGAATTTTTGTGCTCTTATCAAACGCTACAGCTTTGATTGAATGGCCTTGTAAAATCGCAAGAGCGCACATTTGTGTGTGCAGGCTCTTTCAGATACAGTTTTCTATTCAGCGCCAAAAGCTTCGGATTAGAGAGTTGGCAGCTAAAATGGAGGATGCAATCCTAGCTCCCTAGCTATTGCAAACTGAGTGGCTGTCATTCATGCGATTGGACGAGAGTTCGTATGACAAGAGTAACTTCTGTTCGGAGGAGACCCTTCTCTGATTGATCTATCCTACAAGTTTTGATGCAGAAGCCACCAGAAGCCTGATTCTCATGGCAGCCTCAGGCTGTACTACAGCTCTGCACCGACAGCGCTCTAAAGTCTAGCTCTGCCTTCTTCACTCCAGGGTCAGATCTGGGGACGCCATTACGAAGGCCAGTTTGCGTTAGCAGGGCAGCCAGCCTCAGCTTCTCTCTTGCAGAGGTGGATGGAAGAGATTAGTGCTTGGTTCCCAAGGGGGGGATATGGAAGCTGCCACGTCTCAAAATGATGGCTCTTTTATAGTATGCTGAATAGGTAGGGGTTTCATGGTGGGACTCGAGCGTCGCTCTTACATCTGATTTGCCAAAGCTCCTGTAACTTAAAATTACTGTAGTCTGTAGGACCTACAGTCTGTAGAACCTCAAAAGCTTTTCTTTCCAGAGCTTCGAGCTGTGTAGCTGCGCCAAACCTTGTACCTTTACCGGAAAAGGCGAATACAAGCACATCCGAGGAGATTTGCTGCCATGTTGCTTCATTCACGTTCTGCTCTTGATTTGTCCAGCAACGGTTGAGCAACGACAAGAGCCGCTGCAGTGCTCGCAGAATGGGGTCAAGAATTTGGGCTCACCTAACAGCAGCAGCCACGAATGCAGTGGGTGCGGCAGCCAACATCTTTGTTGTGGTTCCGGGGAATGAAGCACCAAACAAACATGGCGCTCATCACATGGTGGGCACAAAAGAGGGTAAGGACCTCCCGGGGATCCGATGAGTTTTGCGAGGGCATTTGAAAGACAAAGCCTGCTCTGATTCGTGTAAAATACCACCAACATTGCTGCAAGCAAACACTTGTACAGCGATTCATCATGTATTTGTCTTCAGGTAAGCTGCCTAATCCTTAGTGGGCGCTAAGTCCAAGTGTATGCTGGTCTCTGATGCTGGTGTCTGAGACTTAAAATGTTTGGCCCTCCTCAAATGGATAGATTCTTATTCAGGCAAGTAACAATCCAGCGGCAATGGTCAGCACTATGATGATATGCTAAACTATTCTGGTCAACGTCCAGGGGCAACTTTGCCTGATCGCCCCGCTCGATTGAAGACGACTCGTGCTGCTAGAGAAGGTGACAAGCAAGAACAGCCACGCAAGACGAAGAAGCTAAAGAGATGTGTGCGGAGGCCGTTGTGACGGCCAACTACACCCGGAACCGGACCCCTGTGAGCGCACACGGGAGGACCCCGTGGGAGGCGTTCTACGGCAATAAGCCCAACGTGGGGCACATGCGGGTGTTTGGGGCGCAAGCCTATAGGCACGTTCCGAAGCAGAGACGTCGGAAGTTGGATCCGGTGAGCGAGCGGTGTGTGTTCGTAGGCTATGAGCCGTATTCCAAGGCGTACAAAGTGCTCCAGGAGAGCGACGGGAAGATCATGATCTCTCGGGACGTTATTTTTGACGAGGGCGAGGGACACAACAGGGTTGTCGAGCTGAGCTCCGACTCCACGGAGGGTTCCCCGGAGGCGGCCGGCGAGCGCGACACCGCGCACGCGACCGCACCCGCACACGGGCATGCACGATATGCAAAACCGACCCAAAAAGGCAAGTTCGGAACCGGTACGAGGGAGCAGAGCGGAGCCGGAAGAGATTGCGGAGGACGTAGGGATGCCAACACCGGCTGCTCAGAGGAATCCCGCGTGTGAGAGACACGCGCCTGGGGAGTGGTACCGCGCCTTATTGGTGGCGGATACAGCAGCGGGGGAGCACCCCAAAGGAACGGGGCAGCACCCAGAACCGCAAAGTTATCAGGAAGCCGTAGGGGGAGAAGAGAGTGACCTCTATCGGAAGTCCGTGGACGAGGAGATGCGTTCCCTATTGGAGAATGGGACGTGGAAGATCGTCGAAAAATCGGAAGGGGTCAAGCCGATTCCCATGAAGTGGGTTTATAAGAGCAAGCGGGACGAGAACGAGAACGTGGAGCGGTACAAGTCCTGGCTAGTGGCTAAAGGCTACCTGCAGAAGCAGGGGATTGACTTCG